AAAACTCATTTAAAAAAAAAAAAAATCATTTTCAAACACATATTCTACCAATAAAATAATTTTGTATTTTAACTCAACATTTTTCTTTATATTTTAACTACACATTATTCAGAAAATCCTTTTTTACAAAATCTATTTTTAAAGATGGGAGCTTAACATGGGCTTAGTATATGATGCTAACAAAAATCGTACTTGATGATTCTGAGCTTGATGACTGAGAATGAGCACGAACGAAATCTTTCGGTACCTAAAACAAATGCATCGAGGTGTGTCATCGTCGTCCTTTCGATACTTAAGTTAGAGAAAGAATGTAGAGAAAAGATATATGCTGCAAATATGTGACAAAACGTACCTTGATAATGATTTGAAGTGATGTATTTATAGAGGTAGGTAGTGCATTTCTAGTAGGATTGCAATGCTGAAATCCCCTAGGAGTCCTAATATGATTGGAAATTGCAACTCAATTGGTTTTGTATTATCCATGTGTTTGGATAGTTATGTGATTCTAGTGTTAGAGTCCTCCTAGAATGAGGTAACACACTCCCAAAAGAACTTTGCTTCCTAGGGTGTCCTAACACGAAGTAGGCTCCTAAAAAGTTAGGGATCGCATGGTTCGAGACTTTGGTAGCAAAAAAGCTGCTGGGTCAAAAGTACCCGAGCTCAAGGACCATAAACCCGAGGAGATCTTTAGAATCTGTCATAGATGGGCACTGACATCCTCGGGTTTAGTGATCGGGTTTAGTAACATCAAAATTGGTATCATCAGTATACATGTTGAAAGATACTTTATGTAGATTGCCATTTAGGTAGGGCTCGGCTCTTCCCACGAACGAGTCAAGCTAGCTCAACTCATGTCTAAGGTAAGACGCAGAAGACTAATAACGAAAACCTCATGCAAGCCTGCTTGTGAGCCAAGGATAGGCAAGCCAATAGCTAGTTAACGACGCAAAATTCTTAACGAAGAAGAAGCATGCAATAAGTTAATCAACATGATAAGACTATCTTTTGTGTAATTTAAGTAGGGGATTGGCCAAAATATTAGAAATTGAGACTGGGCAATGAAGTCCACAGAAAATCCTTTTTTACAAAATCTATTTTTAAAAGATGGGAGCTTAACATGGGCTTAGTATATGATGTTACCAAAAATCGTACCTGATGATTCCGAGCTTGACGACAAAGAATGAGCACGAATGAGGTCTTCCAGTACCTGAAACAAAGACATCGATGTGTGTTCTCGTCGCCAGGGGAGGAGATAGGGATGGGCTGTAGCCCACCCTTGCCCACCACAGCCCAAGCCAAATTTTGTTTAAAAAAATAATAATCCATTTTTTTCTACTATCCAACCTAGTAGCCCACGGTCCAACCCAGTAGCCCCCCTTACCATTGAATCCTGGCTCTGTCACTGCTCGTTGCCCCTTCGATACTTAAGTCAGAGAGAGAACATAGAGAAAAGATATATGCTGTAAATATTTGACAAAACGTACCTTGATAATGATTTGAAGTGATGTATTTATAGAGGTAGGTAGAGTATTTCTAGTAGGATTGCAATGATGAAATCCCCTAGGAGTCCTAATAAGATTGGAAGTTGCAACTCAATTGGTTTTGTATTACCAACGTGTTTGGATAGAGATGTGATTCTAGTGTTAGAGTCCTCATAGAATGAGGTAACACACTCCCAGAAGGACTTTGCTTCCTAGGGTGTCCTAACACGAAGTAGGCTCCTAATAAGTTAGGGATCGCATGGTTCGAGACTTCAGTAGCGAAAAAGCTGCTGGGTCAAAAGTACCCGAGCTCGAGGACCATAAACCCGAGGAGATCTTGAGAATCTGTCATAGATAGGCCCTGACATCCTCGGGTTTAGTGATCGGGTTTAGTTACATCAAAATTGGTATCATCAGTAAACATGTTGAAAGATACTTTATGTAGATTGCCATTTAGGTAGGGCTCGACTCTTCCCACAAACGAGTCGAGCTAGCTCGACTCATGTCTAAGGCAAGACGCAGAAGACTAATAACAAAAACGTGATAAGACTATCTTTTGTGACATTTAAGTTGGGGATTGGCCAAAATATTAGAAATTGAGACTGGGCAATGAAGTCCACAGAAGTCTGTAGTTTGGACAGGACTAGTGTTTGGATAGTAGTCTTCATATCAATCAAAGAAAGTATATGAGTCAACATAATGTTTCTTCTCATTTCTTCCGCTTGTCCTGAAAAGTTTTAGGGAGAAGCTGCATTAACTAGTGTGTACACTATTAACCGCACCCCAACAACAATGCTTAAAAAATTATCTCCTTTTGAATGGTTATTTGATAAGACTCCTGATTATTCTATTCTGAAACCTTTTGGTTGTGCTTATTTTGTTTTGCTACAACCTCATGTGCACAACAAATTTGAACCTCGTGCCTCTCTATGTTGTTTCTTGGGTTGTGGGATAGAACATAAATGTTATTGTTGTTGGGATCCTATTTTTAATAGGTTGTGTATCTCTAGATATGTCACTTTCTGGGAACAAACCATGTTTTCCTCGTTATCCAAATTTCACTCCAACTTTACTACTCCCTCTCAATTATTTACAAATTTATTTGTCATTCTTTTTCCTAGTAATGACATTTATTTCCAGAGAACTCAATTCTAATCCTACACATGTGTCTGCTTCTATTGAGATTGCTCTGATTGTACCTGATGTACCTCATCATTGTTCTACTCGGGTAAGAGAAACTCTTCGTCATCTTCTTGATTACCATTGTTTTTTCTGCTATTGTAACCTTGCATGAGCCTCGTTCTTTTCGTGAGGCTAGTAGTGATCCTCTTTAGTAGTAAGCCATGAATGATAGGATTTGGTTCATCTTTCTCAAGGTAAAACTCCTATTGGATATAAATTGGTTTATAAAATTAAAACTCGTTCAGATGGATCTGTGGAGCGTCACAAAGCACGTTTAGTGGCCAAGGGTTATAGTAAAAAAAATGATATTGATTATGAAGAAACATTTGTTCCAATTGCTTGAATTACTTGTGTTCACAGTCTATTAGTCATTGCCGCTCTAAAACGTTGGAAGCTTCTTCAGATGGATGTCAAAAATACTTTTTCTAAATAGTGATCTCCAAGAAGAAGTTTATATGCATCATCCTAACAAAGTCTGTAAGCTTTAACGTGCTTTGTATAGGTTAAAACAAGTACCACGAGCATGGTTTGTCAAATTTAGTTCCACTATTACTTAGTTTGGTTTTATTTCTAACCCACATGATTCTACTTTATTTATTTGTCGTATTGATAATGGAATTGTTCTCCTGCTTGTTTACGTCCTTGATATGATAATAAATGGTGATGATGCAGCCTGTATTTCACATTTACGACAGTTGCTAAATCAACAATTTGAGATGAAGGATCTTGGTCTTCTAAGTTTTTTCTTGGGACTTGAAGTTTCATCCAACTTAGATGGCTACTATATTTCTCTGGCAAAGTATGCTATTGATTTGCTTTCTCATGCTAGCATCACATACAACAAGACTATTTCGACTCCCTTGGAACCAAATATCAAGTTTATTCCTATGGATGGTTCTCCTCTCGATGATCCTACTCTCTATTGCCAGCTTGTTGGGAGGTTGATCCATTTAACTGTTACACGGCCTAATGTTGTCTATGATGTTCACTTGGTTAGTCAGTTTATGTCTGCTCTTCACACTTTTCACTTCTCTACCGTTCTTTGGATACTTCGCTATGTGAAAGGAACTCTATTCCATGGACTTCATTTTTCAGCTCACTCATCTCTAGTACTATCTCGGTATTCTGATGCAGATTGGGTTGGTGATCCTACAGATCATCGTTCCACTACTGGTTACTGTTTCTTTTTGGACGACTCTCTTATTTCTTAGTGCAGCAAGAAGCAGACTGTCACGGCTCGTTCAAGCACAGAGTCGGAATATCGTACCCTTACAGTTGCTATCGTAGAGTTACTTTGGCTTCGTTGTTTATTAGAAGATATGGGTCTATCCCACTCATCTTCTATTGTTCTTCATTGTGACAATCAAAGTGCTATTCAAATTACTCATAATAATGTGTTTCATGAATGCAGTAAACACATTGAAATTGATTGTCATTTTATTCGCCATCATGTTACTCTTGGTACTCTCCATTTAGTTTCTGTATCTTCCTCTGATCAGACTGGTGATATCTTTACTAAGACTCACTTGCCCGAATGTTTTCACAACTTAGTATGCAAACTCAAGATGACATTTAAAATACCATCTTGAGTTTGAGGGGTAGCATAATTTGTGTGATTGTGACATAATTAATGGGATTGCTTAATTATGGGGATTTCAGATTGCTTTAACTATAGGGATTATAGTTGACTTTTAAATCATGTACAAATTTATTGTATCTTTCCCCTTTTATAGCATAGGTTCTCTTGTATAAATCATTTCAGAAATATAATTCTCCAATTTTCATACAACTTCTCTGCTTTCTAACAGCTATGTATAACACGCGAAATGTGCAGAAGACTGGGTGACTAAAGTAGCAAAATATTAAGATGGAAATTGAAGTGGGAGAAAAGAGAGAGAAAAAAAGAAACATAGAATCGAACGAAAAACATGCACGAAGTTTGTGTACTTTCATTTTGTGTAGAGGGAGGTCGAGAAAATGACGAATGTTTTGTAATCGAAGTTTTGTTTGGTAAAATTATTCCACCTCTCCTCGGCGTAGACAAGTTTTGCTTAAATTTGTGTTCTCTCTTTTCTACTTGTTTTTCCTTTTCCATTGCATTTATTGCACACGATAGTAATTCTTCCCAACTAATTTTCACCTAATCTAACAAACACACGAAGAAACCCCAATTAAGAAAACTTAAATGGCACGGTTACATAAACTTTACATATATACTACTTTTGGGGCATACTTGGTAGGTGAGCAATACTGAATAGGATTAAATATTACAAGACCCAAGAGTTTTATTCTTTTTCAGTACTGCAATTCAAACATACCATTAAGATCTTATATTATCTACGTCATGGAATCCATGGCCATGATTGTGCTTAGATTCATTGGGGACATGTACTTCTCAGTACCATTGAACATCGCGTCGACAATTATTTTGTTTGCCTTTTCTGAAGGATGGTATGCGTCCCAAAACACGTAAAGATCCCTATTTGGGCATATATTCGATGCAGTTGTGCAAAGTCCTAACCCATTGTAGGGTCCCTGGCCGCAGCATGCTACATTCGACGTGGTAAAACCTGTTGCAGATATCTCTTTAGTTAATTTTCTTTGGTACACAAACAATATTTTCAAAATGATGGATGATGACGAACCATGGGCACGAGGATGGTAAATGACGTCGCTTTGCATTTCCAGCGAGTCAATTGCGATAAACGCGGATGAGCCAAGCTCGTGATTAAGATCTTTAAGCATTTTCTTGAGAAGGGGGTTGAATATTTTCATAGCAAGGTTAGGCTCTTCTGCACATTGACCATTTATGCTCCTAGTCGCTAGCATAGCCGGAGCACAACCAATCGGTCCTACTCCGGTGACTAAAACCCGTTGGAATCCCAACTGATACAGACTCTGCAACATCAAATAAATTAGGTAGTTGCGACATATTTGACTATACAACATCCCACGTTAAAACGGGGACCTAGATCAAAGACATAAATGTTGTAGTTGGTAAAAATCGAGTTGCTTTAATTGTCTAAGTAGACACGTGGCAGCATACACACACGTGTAAAAGAACTTTGTAAATACCAGCAAAATATTCTTGTATTCAGAGATGAGATAGGTGGAGAAATCCTGGAGATTAAACTCAAGGCTTCTTGCAGTAACTGGAGTCAAGAAGTAGTTGTTAACAAAATCATTGCCAGCAAGTGTGATCAGAACCAAAGACTTCTTCACAAGTTTCTGTGTCTCTTCTTCTCCAATTAGAGCACTAACCCTTCGTTCATACTCCTTGAACAGCTTAAATTGTTCATGTATTCTTATTATGTTTACCTGGAGAAAAAAATGAAGCGAAAGATTGACTTCTCTAAATCTTTGAAAAATAAGCAAAAAACTGTCCTATAGATAAAAAGTTTGCTAGACTTACAAACTGAATCCCTGTGTCATTAAGAATTCCAATTCCAGCGGAGGCGAAGTTTGCACCAGCCAGCAATTTTTTCCCTTTCAACTCGGGACTCAAGTATGGCAAACTCAATTCGGCACCAAGTTTTTGACCTATGGATATGTTTACAGAAGAGATATTTTTTACTTAAGTTGTTAAAGATGGGAAATTTAGCCCTTTTGGTTTGATAAAAATAAGATTTTTATAAAAATTGATGAAATGTATAGTTGAAAAGTTGCGGGTTCATAAAAAGCATGTTTAAATATGAATTTAATGAAAAATGAGTTTTGAGAAACGAGAACTTACTGATGAGATCAGGAATGTTGTAACCATTTGAAAAACGGCCGGTAGGACGGTGAGTCGGGAAGTCAATGCCATAAGGAGGAGAGTCGGCTCTTGCCGCGGTAGCCATGTAGTTGTTGTTGCCATTGTCGACTAGTGAATCGCCAAAGACGAAGAAAGTGCGGGCTCCGTCGACTGGTGGCACAGNCAAAGACGAAGAAAGTGCGGGCTCCGTCGACTGGTGGCACAGTCATGGACATTATGATCACTGCCAAGGAAACTGCAGCCAAGATGGCATAAGAAGCTGGGATGGACATGGTTGCAAATACAAAATCGAAACTCTCTCTCTCTATAGAGATGTGTGTGAGATGAGGGTTTTATAGAGGGTTTTGAGCCATCAAGGGTAATGAAAGTTGCTGGTAGATTGTTGAAACCCTAATAAATGGCTAACGTCCATTGCATGAGAGTGCTCGAAAAACTGATCAGCTAAGCGAGAGACAAAGCTTATAATTAATAGATTATTTGAACTAGCAACTGTGTACCAAAGGTGATTTTATAATTTAAGTGGGAGAGGTATGTTATAAACTTGACGAAAACAACAAATTAAGTCCATGTCTGGCCTCCATTTTTTAAAATTCATTTTTATCTGCACACTTTATGGACTCGATTTTTATCTATTTTTCAACTTTATATTTTATCAACTTTTATCAAAATTTACTAAATATCTATTTTAAATCCAAATCGAACAGGGCTCAATCTTGTTCGTAATAAATTTGAGATTGCATACACGAGTCATTCTTTTGGTTTGGTTTTGTGCTCTATCGAGTAGAGTTTAAGCTCCTGTATTTTTTCAAACTCGTTTTTAACTATACATTCTTCTAATAAAATAACTTTACAAGTAAATACATACTTTTTTTCCTACTTGTAATCAATGTTTTTGTTTAAAAAAAAAAAAAAATCCTTTCAAA